TCCCTTTACCAACTTGGTTCTCGTTTTTTTTATATTTCCATCCCGCGTCCTCAGCTCTTGTTCAACATTTTTTGGGCCGCCAATGGATTTCATTGATATTTCATAGCACGACCCCAGAATAAACGTTGTCGAAAATTCAGTTAATACCCGCTGCCGCAAGCCTCTCTACATACCACCGAACAATCCAAATGGTTTTTCAATTTGCTTGCTTTAATTGACTTATTCAATCGATTGTTTATTTATCGTGTCTGTATAATTTAATAATGGCTTTTAAATTACGCTCAAGTTATGTCTTTCCCAAGGTTTCCAGTATATTTTCCTATATACGTTTGAATTTGTCGGGGAACGAATACGTACTGTACGATTGCTATAGAAGACCAAATATGTTCACTTTCTGTAGCGTTACGTAGTTAAATTGTTTTAGTTTCTTTCATGATTTCATTAATTTACCCATTTTTTCCTTTGTTTCGCGAAGCACGTTTCATCGTTGATCAAACAATGACCACCGACAGAAGATATTACGAAGCGGACAGTCAAGTAGTTGATTTGATTCGCGATTATGGAAACCGGAAATCAGAGCTAATCTTAAACGACAAGAGAAACCCGTAAATCATTGAGCAGAACATCGGGCATCGATAGTTCAGCTCGCAAAAGGCAGCAATTTATTTTCATAACTCGTGAGCGGCCGAGGGATTTGGCGGAATGTAAAAGTGACGTTAAATCAAAGTCATCGATATCCGCTCTCATTCTCTCAACAGTGCGAGGTTGCCGTGGAGCGGGAGGCGCGCGCGTTAAATAATCGAGGCACTTTAGCCGGAGAAATTTTCAAAGTGCACTCGGCGAGCCTTGAAGTGGGCTCTTTATTATCAGGCAGGCGGCGCGAGTTCGCGGGCAAAAGGCGCCGAGAATCAAAAATCAATTTGCCACCACCGGCCGCGGCGATTCCCCGTCCCAGTAGCGATTTCGCGTAATGAATCGCGGCTCGCGCCTCGTCCTTTACGTTCACGCGGACGTTCGCGGGATATACGAGCGAGACGGAATTGCGCGGTCGCAACGATTGAGCGTCGCGCGAACGGGGTTAATTTTTGATTGCGCGGCCGGTCGCACGTTAATGCGGAATTTATCGCTTTCTAGTTGCGCATTTCGCAGCCGATCGGGGGCCGGCAGCCGACTTTATTTGTGTTTTGAGCAAGGTAAAATATTTAACCGTCCGCCGGGATTTTAAGCGGCGCTGCGTCGCTCGACTCGCTGTAAATTTACGCAAAGTGATTCGTTCGAGCTGCAAATTAATGACGAGTATTATTTAACGAAAATGCACTGGGGACGGGTATAAGCGAACGGGCGTGATGCGACGGCATGCGATTTTTTTTCCATGCGGAACTGCGGCAGACGTATTATTCGACGTTATATTATTGCCGGCTGCCTCGTTAAGGTTCGCGTCCCCGATGATAATTTATTTGTTTGACCCTATGGTATTCGGCGTGCGTGAATGTCGTCTCGCGATTGCTCCTTGCAAATATATAACGCGCCAAAAATTCATCGACGAACAAGCAAAAGGGACACCCACAGGTATTGTTATGCTTGCGCTCATACAAAATATTGACGTTACAAGAAACTTTGCGGCTCCCAATGCGCGTATTTTGAATTGGAAACTCGTCTTTAAAATAATATTTGCCTGATGCGAGTGCATTATTTCAAAGAACCACGACTGCAACAGTGACATACATAAAACGGTTAATAAAACAGAATCTTCTGCAATGCCCTGATTTATTTGCCGCCAAAGCAGAAATAATCGTTATGTCGAGCAAAGTGCGATTGCAACTTTCGTAACGGACGAGCTCGCGAGCAATTCAATTTCATTTGTTTGCAGCCGTGTACTTTCGAAAATTAGCTGGGCGCGAGGTGAAAGTGTACGCGAAATGTTTTATTCATAAAGCATGCAAATTGTTACTTCGAAAATGAAAGAAAAAACCAAAAAAAAAAGAGTTATCAAACGTGGAAATGAAAAATACCGGAGCGTACACACAAACGGTAGCACTGGAAGAGGGGAGAAAGAGAGAGAGAGAGAGAGAGAGAGAGAGAGAGAGAGAGAGAGAGAGAGAGAGAGAGAGAGAGAGAGAGAGAGAGAGAGAGCGCGAAAGAAGGAAGGTAAGCGCGGCTAAGCCCGCGGCGTAACAAAACTGGTTGCGCTCGAGCGCTTTTCCAGCAGCGAGCTCTTGCGTAACGCCGAGAGAGCAGGCAGGGTACCGCGTCTCGCAGAGATCAGCGCAAATCCGCGAAATGCTTGGGCCACGTCGACGACGGACGCCAAGAGCGCCGAGCAAAGACGCGGACGAGAGCGAGAGAGAGAGAGGAAGGCGCCTCTCCAACTCGCTTTTGATTAGTGGTCGCGGTTGTACTTTCACGCTGGCATAGGCGCTGATTAATTCGAGAATCCATTGTACAGGCGCGGAGACTGCCGCCGTGCTTGGAGCGCGCGCAGGTGAAAGCCGACTCGTTTCTCTCGCCGCGCGACGCTTGCATTTTCCAAGGCTGCGCGCGGCCGCTGGCTCGGCCTGCCTCTCTCTCTCTCTCTCGCAGTCCTACGCCGCTGGCTTTGGATCTTGCTTTATTTAGGAGCGCGCGCGGATTGATATGCAAAACCTCCGCCGCGGTGCGTTCCACGCGACCACTGTATTGTTTCTGCGAGGCGGCGTCGCGATCCTGGTCTCTCGTCGCAATCGCAACGCGCTCGGAGCACGCTTCTCGACGATCCTTGGAGAGAAAGGGGACGGCTGTCGCGTCTGTGGCATTGACCGCGCGAACGGCAACGACAAAAGTCCCCAGGCTCGATGGACGACGAAAATGTGCCCGCGAGGATTTTTCAGACACCCCTAGCGCGCCCCACATAAATATTTACGCAGGAAGGGCCGAGGGCATCGCAGTAAAGGTTTTAACGGTTGAACGCAAGCGGCGTGTACGTCGAAGCCCGCCGCCCGTGAGCTGGCGCCCCTGGTGCCAGTCGCTCGCACTTCTGACCGAGACCGAGTTCGCTGCACCGTGCGCGCGCGCGCACCTACGCTTCGACTTTCAAAAGTTAGCGTTTTCCCCCGTTTGTCTTAATTGTTGCCTACGCTTCCACTTGTTTCTTTTTTTACTTGCACGCTGATTAGTTTGCAGGCGGATCTCCCAATTCGTTCTATGCTTCGCTTGCTATGCTCGCGGCAAATTTCATTTGCTATAGCTGTTATCCCGTTGTGGATTGCGCGCGCGTGAGTTTCATTGGTGAATCGGAGCTCCCGGTGCAATATACCTGCGAGCTAATTACGAATCCTTCGGAATTTCCTTTTATCGCGGGTGCTGGATCTATGGAGGAGCGTGCACTAGTTTGCCAGCGGGAAAAGCGTTCTCCGTCAGCGAGTCGAAGCTCTCGAGTGGCGAATTCATTGACAAGTCGTTACGTGGATTCCCTTCGGCGTAGCTCGCGTCTCGCGAGCGAGTGGACAGCGAGGCGGGAGGAGAAGGCATCGGGCAACATCTCCGTGAGTCGCAGGACAGGATGAAGAAGAAAAAGAAGAAGAAAAGTCGCGGAGGAGAGCGCGGCGCCCATAATTCCTGTCGGGCCGCGCGCGCGGAGATTGCAAAAATGGAAAATCGACGAGCGTCGATCCGCGCGCGTGCGCACAAAAACTACCTCGAGTTGCCAACGTCAAAGTTAAACGCTCGTGCTCTCAAAGGGCGATCGGCGTTCTTCGTTCTCGAGCAGCGGGTGCATTTTTTTCATTTTCCGAAAACGTTCGTCGAAGACCAGGCAATTCCCTCTCGACTACCCAGTTTTTGAAAAATCGCACCGAACGATTCTTTCCCGTTCATCGGAAACATTTTACGTTACAATCTCGATAATAAAATTTTCACGAACGTTTTATAGCGTGTCACGCTAAATATTTATTCAATGAACGACAGACGCAAAAGTTGATATGATATCGCGAAAACTGAAAGTGTACGCTTGATTTGCGTTCCAATTAATGTACGAAGATTGATTTTCATGTAATACAGCCTACCGTGCGTGCTCGTAGCCTTCGACGATTTTCAATAAAAAGAAATCATCCATGTATAGCGTGGTTGACACGAAACGAACGTTCAATCAGAACGAAAAGGTTTGAGCTTGAAATTATAAGTGGCCGTACTGTTATAAAAAATCGCTTGATAATGGATACGTTTCAGGGAGAGGACTCGGATGTATTTTGCCGTGACAAATATTGATTGTACTCTTTTCCAATAGTACACGTCGACTGCTACCGAAAAAAACGAAACAAAAACGAAAAAAATGCAAAAAAGTACATGTGGGGTAAGACCGGCGTGCACGCCACGCAACGACATTCACTTTTTATTTTTGAACTTTGCAGTGCTTCCTTCATTTTTATCCGCGTAGCCGGAATAACGCTGAATCGCTTGAACGGATTTGCAAAACAGATGCCACCGCGTACAGCGGAAGGCCGAAGTCACGGCGGGAGTTCGAAAAAAGCAGAAGCAATGTCCGAAAGGCCAACCATTGCCCGCGAGCGAGCGCGAAGAAGCGTTCGGCTTGCAAATAAAATGCGAACTTATGAATCGATCGCGTTCGTTAGTCATCGGCTTTCAAGCGCAACAACATGCCGGGATCTCGTTGGCATTCGCCAGCTGGAAAGAATAACGTAACGAGGGATTTGCAATTGCACGGTGAGCGCGCCGCGCCGACAATTAGCTTACGCGTGCCCCTGGCTCACGATTTCGGTCGACTATTCAGCGGCGCGCTATGCACTTCGTCGAAAGAGAAAACCGAAGAATCGACGAAGCGCGCAACGAGGCCTACCACACGACGCGGACGCACGGCGACGATATCGACAGGTTTCCTTCGAACGGCTTCGCCGTGCGTAATACCCGCGACTCGCAAGTGGCTGGCGCCACGTCGCGCGCGCACCGCAAGCAGTCGCGAGCGTTGCATCGCGCATTCCGCAGCGTTGCGCCGCAGTCGTACTCACCGAGGTAGCACGAGAAGGCAAGCAGGAGGAGCGGCGCGGCGAAGAAGCGCATCCTAAATCTCGTCGCGTTCATGGCTCTCTCTTGCATTCTCCGCGTCTTCTCTCGCTCTCAGAGGCTGCAGCGACCTCGCTGCTGGCGATGCATCCACGCCAGAGAGAGAGAGAGAGAGAGAGAAAGAGAGAAGCAAATTTTCACTTCTGGCAGTTCCCGCGAAAGGGAGCAAACTGAAAACTACGGCGCTTCGTTGCTGTCGCCGTTATCCGCACACTCCCGTATAAACCAAAAAAACAAAAGAAACCAGAAATTTGCTTTTCTTCCTTGGCACGATTCTGCTCTCCCTCCTCGCGCTCTCTCTCTCTCTTTCTCTCATCTGCGGCGAAACGCCGTCAGATTGCAGCAACGCGCACTTCTGCCGTTAGACTTCATCGAACACACCACGCGCGCGCGCTCGCCAGTTGCCGTTCTGTTTTATCAATCAGTATCACACCACACAGGCACAGAGAATTTTCGCACTTGACACAGATCAGTTGTCGATTGTTGCACGCCGAGCGACAGCGGTGGAAAAAAACAAATAAAACAACGGGCAACGATCAACGGAAAAAAGGTTGAGCGGCTGGCTGCAAGGGATTGAATTCACACACAAGCTTATGTACTTCGACGACGCGTACGACAAGTCGCAAGCGCACCTCTCAACGGCCGCGCGGCAACTGAAAGTAGGGACGCGGCATAAGCCCCCTCCTTCGGTGGCGCGCGCGCCGGAACCATCCCCTACTCCAGTGCGAGCCGCCGTACCGCTTGCGTTCTCCTTCTCCCTCCCGTACACATTCACACTCGCGCTCGCTCGCTCTCTCTCTCTCTCTCTCTCTTTCTGTCTCTCGCTCTCCGGTTTTTTCAAAGCGTATGTAGCACGCCGCCGATGCTCTCTCTCTCTCTCTCTCTCTCTCTCTCTCTCTCTCTCTCTCTCTCTCTCTCTCTCTCTCTCTCTCTCTCTCTCTCTCTCTCTCTCTATTATATATATACGCTGGACGTTGCCCGCGACGAGGCGCTCTCTTCCGAACCATACGTAGAAAAAGAGAGGGAGAAACTTTCAAGGGGCTCTCACAATGCCGATTCTTCTTTAACATTACGGCGGCGGGCTTTTCTACCTGATTTCTCGTTTTGCGGATGCTGCAAAGTTGCGCGTACGTCAGTTAATGGCACTTCAATGAAACCTTAACAAATTATTATACGCAGATGAATTATTTCCAAACGTATTTGAAAATTTCCTATTTTTGATATATAAATTCCATGCCATTAGATGCACTTTCCCGAGTGAAGATATTTGCGAGCTACCTCGCGATGATTTACGTGTCTTAATTTTGAGACGCGCGGTAGTGCTGGTAGATGTAAAGCATCGGTTGGTCCCATAAGGCATCAGCGAGAAACGCCGGCCGCTGACCAAATTTCCACCGTTTCATCTACGTGTTTCCAAACTGCTATAATTCTCAGTTAGACCGTACTCATAATTACTCCGAGGTCTGAGGTCCGCGAGAGGCCATAGGTCAAATAACTTTCGAAAATTTCGTGCGCGCCATTTCTAACAATCGTACCTTGGTATTTCGACAAGCCTGATTTCGCTACTGTGTGCTACATGCCGGGGTCTGATTAACTGTTGATAAGACTTCGAAAACAGCAGATCAAAATTAATTTTTTTCTTCCTTGTTTCTCACATTTCCCGAAGCGCGATTTATTTTTTCGAGATTATGTTCGAATGCGTCAGCGAAATGCCATTTTTTTTTCCGCCGTCGGAAAATTGGAAAGCAGATTATGTAAGTTATTGGGTGAACTAAGCACTTTTCGGCAGCAAGCCTTCGCGGGGATGGCTGATGGCAACTGGCCGAAATAGTTTGTTTTCGCGTTAATAGCATTTGGGACTGGAGAAAAGTTTCCAGTCATTCAGTGGTATTCAGCGGAAATGCGATGTGTATATAACGCACGCGCGCGTGCGCGCACTCATTCGTATATATATACCGCATAGGGGCTTGTCAGTTAGCTTCTCTCGAACGTACATACCCGCCTAAAACAGCGCGTATTTTCAGTTATAAGGCAGATGCAAGATGGATCATTATTCCCTATCGGTTTCCATTCCTCTAGTAAAAGTAGAACTCATACTTTATCGTTAATAATTTCTTGCATCAAAAATTGAGAGCTCGTATCCACTGCCGGTATTATTGACTTTATAGCGGGCCTCGATAAGTAACGTGTTTCAATTACGCGCAAGTTGCAATCGCAACAAAGATTCTGATATTCGAAACAAGTAGAGCTGCGAATTACACGTTAGACATTTTTCTTAATAACGATATTTGCCAACGCACCTAAGGCGCAAGCGTTAACCGTACGCGAATACGAGGGAGCCAGCTGTCTAACCGTGTAGCTTAACGAGCAAAAACTGTAGCTCTCGTCGAATATTCGGGCAAAAAGTTTGTTGCAAGACGTTGTAAAATCGTATTTTGCGCGAGGAGGCATTGGATAGGGACAAGATGATTTGGCTCGAATCACGTTTTGCAGCTCAGTATACGCGGAGCACGTCCGTCTGACGAGCGGTGTGAAGGCTCCCGAAGAGAGAGTATCTTTGGACGCGAGAGAAGGGAGCAAACGTCGACGAAGGCAGTTTTGCCCCCACCGAGTCGTCGTGATCCCTACGGCAGGTGGTTCAGCATGCACACTTTCGAGCCGAGTTTGCCACCCGAGAACCCGCCGGGGCACAACAAAAAAGCTACACGGCGCCAACAAAATATCGTGCGTGTCGTGGATCAGAGATTTTTCACGACTCGCGGTCCGATGCACGTATGCAATTAACGAGCATCCTCACGCCTCGACAAGAGAGTCACGAGTTTCCTCGCGCCTCGGTGTACTTTTGAAAAGCCTCCGCGGGGCGCGTGTATATATGTGATCTACACGTGCGCGCGCCTCTCTTGTCGAGGGCCGACCAAGGATGGAATTCCCATTGAATCAGCTCCTATGCTTTACTTCGGCCCGAGATGATACGCACAATGGACCCAAGAAAGAAATCAGACCCTTTCCTCTAGCGCTCGATTGCGTTCCTTTTTATATAGCTCTCGATACATATACGCACCTATTGAATCATCAACGAGTCATGAATAGCATTCGGGAAACATCATGCTGAGAGGATAAAGTCATCTTTGTCGGGGAAAGTCACTGTTGTATTTTTTTTTAATGCGAACTTTCAAAGACAGGAAAACAGCTCTTTTCCCTTTCCGGATGATAAATAATACATTGAAAATCGATTAAGTTATCTGTCTCGCTCGTTACATAAACCTGATACCTATAGTTTTCTATGTTGGCAATGTTAAAACTTTTTTTTTCTGTATTTGTAAGCTACATAAATAATGCATCTGAATTTACGGGTGAATCGGGAAAAAAGTGAGAAAGCCCAGCCGTAGAAAAAGAAAAAAAAAAGAAAAAAAAAGGACGAAAGGAAAGAAAAGAAAGTCACATTGACCGCGCGATCGATATTAAAACAAAGCATTCCTTAACGACAGTCGCGGGCATTGTGCGCAGGTCCGCGCGCTCAACCGATCAGGCCGAAATTTGGATAAATTGTTTGGTCTCCTCTCTCTGTAAAACGAGATACAAATGGCGCGCGCAGCCTCCCTCGAAAACGGCGTCAAACAGCCAAGGCCTAGTATAAATATCTGCGCTTGGAATCTCCCAAGGCCCCTCGACGCCACTCCTTCGGCAGGTAATCGACGAGTGCAACACCTGCCCTCCTCCCACCGTCGCTACTGCCGCGGCGCATGAAAATAACGCGTTAGCGTCCTGCCGAGCATAATGCGATGCACGTGCACGTTCCTCTCTTTCCATCGTGACACTGTATATTCCTCGAGAGAGCCGGCGACATATGGCTCTTGCAGGCGTTCCTTCGCATCGAGGCTTCCGACGTACGGCGCAGTTTTTTTACAACGCGATAGGGGCCGCACGCGTGCGATTGTCTTGCCAGGAGTTCCCGAATAAGCCTATGCTAAAATGCATCATAAATTCGACGACGACAATGTCCGTCTTTTTACTGTAGCAGCGTTTTTATTCAATACATATGGCGAGTCTATTGTTGGGGGAGGGGCGGGGAGGTCCTTCGGCGCGCTCGCGCGTGCTCTACGCGTAAAACGATAAAACTTAATTTATCCCCGCGAGTGCACTTAATGCAGTATTCCCGAAGCTGCACAAGACGCTCGTGTCGATGTAGCTGCCTGCGCCGGGACACCCGTAACAACGTCGACTTGGCGAAAGCCGCCCCCGGCCGAAAAAGCGAGCCATCGTTAAATTAAATCCGAGAGGCTCGTCGGCGAGCGGGAGAAAGCAGAACGAAGCGAAAAGAGGCAAGCTGCGCGCGCCTCGCAAGGTGCTGATTTAAGAGTTGCAGCTGATTGAGATTTGATTGTCACAAAGAGATACACACGACGAGCAGCACGCGCAGCCACACTCGGTACGCCTGCTGCGCGAGCGAGCCTGGCGCGCGATGACCATTTAAAAAAAGGGGGGGGGGTAGAGGGGAAGAACGGGCAGCCGATGTTGAAACGAGAGCCGGGGAGCAGGTGTCCGGCGCGAGCGCGTGTATCTCGCTCCACTACCTGAGGCCCACCATCTGCCGCCGCTCGACTCCTTGGCTTCTTTATATGCCCCCAGACCCTCCAAAAAAAAAAAACAAAAAAAATAATAAAAAAGAAAAAAAGATGAACGAGATATATACCAGCGCGCGCCAAGATTTTTTAGCTTGCACGCGTATAATGAGCTTCGGGCACGCATGTCAGCGTTTTTTCCCCTCCATTCTGCCTTTTGTGCGATCATTGTCTTGCGTTATAATCTATAGAGCTTCGTTTTGTGTTTTGATGAATCTAGACAGATTGTACCGTGAGTTGACGTTTTTCTATGACTCGAAGCACATAGTTAAATTTAGAACCTTGATGATGCGCGGCAAAAGTTTGCAGACGCGAAGTATCACCAATTTCATCAACGGATGAAACATCGGAACGGTCAAAATTGAAATAACCAGACGCTCCTAGCGAATAATTATTCATAATAACGCTGGTTACAATTGACGGGCGTTTCGCTGGAAATTAATAATTATTCAATCGTCCTAATTAATATAACCAGAGAAGTCCGCGCATTGGAGCGTAATATGAATTTTGTACGACCGCAGTGTCGATATAGAATTCTATCTCGAATAACAATTGTCCTGTCAAATAAACTGCAAGCAGTGGGCAAACTGTAAGAATCACAGGGCTGACAGGAATATCGGCTCGATCGAGTCATCAAAAAGAAGCTGCGAGTGCGAGAGAGAGAGAGAAAGAGAGAGAGAGAGAGAGAAAGAGAGAGAGGAAGGGGAGAACGTTATTAGCATTAGATATTCTCAGCGATGGCGTGGTCGAGCGTGGGGGCGGGGGATGTACGCGGACCGTCGGTTTGTACTTATTCGAGGGTGAAAATCGCTGATGACTTACGTTGCCTCTGGAAAGCACTCAGCGCCTCTTTCCCGCGCGCTTAGCAGCGGGCCGCTTAACATTTCATGATACGCCGCGCGCGACTGGCGCTGCCAAGATATATACATATATATATATATATATATATATATATATATATATATGACGAGCCACCTTGCTTTGCGCGAAAACTTGCCTCTCCCTTCCAGTCGGC